CAAAGTCAACTGAGACCCCCTGCAGTCTCCGCACCTTCCGCCTGGCTATGGGGGTTTCCTGAAATGGGGGTGACCCAATAGCTTGATGCTTTAGAATAGAAAATCACCAAAAAAAAATGATGATTTTTGGGGTTACCCCCATTTATGGAAACCCTCATTTTTTTAGTGTATGCGATGTTCAAGTCTATGGACTTCATCATCTCCAAACATGTGTGTGTGTGTATGTATGTATGTATGTATGTATGTATATATATATATATATGGGCTGCCTTTCTTAGCCACGTAATTTTTCCAGGATCCTCTAGCCACGTAATTCCTTTTTTCCGGCTCCAGGGTATCAATTCTGCAGCTGTCAGATTCAACGTTTCCATCCGTATCCAATGTAAGTCTAAGATGTCGAAGTGATGTGATGTAATTAGACTTTGGAGAGAATCTGGAAAATGTCAACTCAACTTTAGGGGATGTGGTAAAAACAAAGCCAATGTCATAAACCTGTCATAAACCTCGACTGATGGTGAAAAATACCCACAACCGTAGCCTTGCACGTGGATTGCATGGGAGTGGCCACCAGGCACTTGTAGACGCTGGTCCACCGCCTGTTATGGGAAAACACATGCTGGGGTGACTTAAAGATATGTCAAGACATGTTGATAGGAAACATGATGATATTGAAGCATTAGAAGCCTTGATTTTTGGGGTACAATTCAACTAATTAAAAAATGGGAATGTAGTTGTAAAGCATGGTGTGGCCGCATAAGATTTGGGAGTTCAAATTTTGGCACAAACCAGGTTTGAGGCAAACCCTCAACTACTTTCATCGGGGAGTCTGCCGCTTAGGGTAGATGACCGGAGGGTGATCACTAAGAATCGAAGTTTTGAACTCTACCGCTTTCCTCTGTGGGAGATCAATCTTGAAGAACTTGTTATCTCCAAGTCGCTCAGTGAACCGCTCTGCAGCCATGATTGATATCAGAACACAGCAAATCTGGCGGAGAGCACTTCACGTGGCCGGCGAGCACTGTGATCCAGCCAGTAGCACCTCTGCCAGCTGGCATTTACATCTCGTGTGGTCAACTGGGATCATAATCCGAGGGATGAAAAATTGAGAAGGACTTGGAACCACCAAGCAGACTTGCTTCTTGGATGTTCTTGGATGTTCTTGGATTCTTGGATCAGAAGGCAATTTGGACAAGATGAATCAAGATGAAGCCCCAACCTTTCGACCCGTGCCGGGAAAAACCAACCTCTGAGTCTCCGGACCATCGGTGGTCCTTACTCTGACCCGGATGGAAGGTTGTTGCGCCTCTTCCTTTGTCTCACTGACCTGGCAAAATGGGGAATTGTCCATTGCCATATTTGACTACCAAAGGGTAATGAGGATATAAATCGATGTGTACATATATATATATATGTAATTAATATGCTATAATCACTGGATCTTAATGGGATTTATATAATCAGCGGATATTCGTGGGATAAAATCAATGGATATTGATGGGATACCATCAATGGATCTGGATAGCATATAACAAACCATTTGGTGATGCTTTGACTGTTAGTTATTTATATACATGTATGTATATATATTTATATTATATTATGTTATACTATATTGTATTATATTATATTGTAGTATATCAAATTATAATACTACATTATATTATACTATATCATATTGTATTATCTTATATATTATATTGTATTATAATAATATTATATATATATATTATATTCATATTATACTATTTTGGCCCAGATGGTTCAAGGCGACACATCCTGCTGCATAGCTATCACGAAGCTCATGCCCACAATGAGGAGCTTTCAAACTCTGAATGCCATTTTTCCCCTTTATTCAGGAAGAAGTTTATGCCTGCTTCTCTAGTCAGGAGTTCCTTTTCTTTTCAGATAGATCATCTAATCATACTTGATTAAATTGCAAAAATCAGAAGTGAACTTTACAGAAACCAACTTCCACCGCACTGTTGCGCCTGCACTGCCTCACCGGGCGCCAAAGTCTTTAGCACCTCTGAGTTGGCAGCAACCGTCTTCTGCAGCTTCACCTGGGCTGGTGAAACCTGGTGAATGCTGGTGGAACAGATTTTAATGATGTTTCCATGGATATAGGGTATATAAGGTTTATATTTCAGGTTTGCATGGTGTTCATTGTTTTTTTTAATGAATATAGATGCAATATCTGCGGTTGATATTGGAGATTCAACCAGGAAACATACATCCAATAAGGGTTTTGCTAATAAGGGGACTTAATGGCAATAAATGGAGATTTTCCTGTAGCACATTACATGATTTTACTCAGCAATACATTTGGATTCTAGCAGCGGGATTTTGCCATCAATAAATGAATTGGTTTTGCTTGGGCCCTACAAACATGGAGATGCGCCCCAATGAATTGGGCAATTGAAGATGGGGGGGAATGGAAACCTATAAATGGAAATCAATAAAGGTAGGACTATCATCCCAAGGTAAAGTCATGGTGAGATAACATGTCTACCCACAGCACATCGATGGATGATTTTATGGGTCAAACGGTCAAACGTGTAAGCCCTTGGAAAACCATCAGCCCGCGCGGACCCCCAAGTGTGCGAAAGGGCAAAATATCTGTTCTTTTAGAAATCCCCAAAAAACCCTGTGTAGCAAAACATTTGATAAATCCATCCATATATTATGTATATTATATATTATATATTATATATTGTATATTGTATATTATATATTATCTATTATATAATATATATTATATATGTTATATTATATATTATATAAAATATATTATACATTATATATTATATTATTATATATTATATATTATATATTATATATTATATATGTTATTATATATTATATAAAATATATTATACATTATATATTATATATTAAAAATTATATATTATATATGTTATATTATATATTATATATTATATATTATATATTATATATTATCTATTATATAATATATATTATATATGTTATATTATATATTGTATAAAATATATTATATATTATATATTATATATTATATATTATATATTACATATTATATATTGTATATTGTATATTATATATTATCTATTATATAATATATATTATATATGTTATTTTATATATTATATATTATATATTATACATTAAATATTATATATTATATATTATATATTATATATGTTATATTATATATTATATATTATATATTATATATTATATATTATATATTTTATATTATATATTACATATTATATATTGTATATTGTATATTATATATTATCTATTATATAATATATATTATATATGTTATATTATATATTATATATTATATATTATATATTATATATAATATATTATATATAATATATTATATATGTTATATTATATAAAATATATAAAACATTATATATTTTATATTATATATTATATATTAGGTATTATATATTATATATTATATATTATATATTATATATTATATATTATATATTATATATTATATATTATATGTATTATGCAGTATATTATATATATATTATAGATATTATGGTTGATATATATATATATATGTATATATATATGTATATATATAATTATATATGTATATGTTGCTGTTTCTTCATCTTGTGAGCCACTCATCAATCATTTCCTGACTTCAGGGAGACACTCCTGAGCTCAGAGCCTCCTTGACGATTGCGTAGTGTGTTTTGCTCGCCTTGGCCAAATGACTTGAAGGACTCGTAGGACCCGCCGGGGCCGAATGGATATTTTGATGGGATCATAATTCTATATAACACTCAGGTTTTGCTGCCTAGAAGTTGATTGGGATTGTGGCACCGGGAACCCCAGGCATCCTAGCTTCTGTCATGGTCAATGATTCCACTCACTTGAGGTTGTTTACATCAACCCTAGAACCATCAGAGAAATTGCGCGTGATCTAAAATATGTTTGTCCAAAAATCGTGATATTGTTGAGCATCTCACGTTCAATATTCAGAAGGAAAACCCCAATTGGTTTGAGATATCCTGCTATTCTCCACAAATCTGGACTGGAAAGTCCCCTATGTTCATAAGAAAATCAAAACCCATCCGTAAGGATTTTGTCCCAAAATTGGGTATATCAGACTATACCAGTATACCCAAAATTGCCAGTTCAGCCAGATAAAGAGGGAATTTTTGCAGTCCATTGCAATTGACACCCCCAGTTTCAGACAAACAATTTTGAGATTCTAAAAAATGGTTTGTCTGAAACTGGGGGTGTCAATTGCAATGGTCTCATATCATGTTTGTCTCTCATGTGGCTGCGTCCAAGATGGTCTACCCAAAATGATACCCGTCATGACGGGAACATTATGATCAACTAATTCATGGGATCTTGGTGGAAAAATCACTAGAGCAACCCCCCAAAAAAGACACAAAAGTACAGTCACACTAAAGCAAGGCCATAAATCATGTCTGTCCTATCTTTTTGTTAGGCATTGCCCCATAAAATCATGGTTTTTTTCGGGTGTTTCCGGCTGAGATCTCCGGGCGGATGCAAAGGTGGTGCCTGCGTTGCCAGTGATGGTGATCCATCCCACCTGGCAGGTGAGTTCGGCAGGTAGGTACAATGGGAAGTATTGTTAATGTGGTCAAAACAATAATAAACCACCCCATTTTTGATGGTCTATACAGTCTATACCACCCAGAAAAATGGTGATCTGGGGGATGGTTTATTATTGTTTTAACTTAATCACATTATGTTTTGTTCTATATTACAGTACGCTCGCTACGCTACGTTACGCAATGTAATTGTGTGTGTGTGTCTCTATGTCTATTTCTGTAATTATGTGCATGTCTGCGTTCGTGCGTACATATGCATTCATGTACGTCTGGGCGTACATACATATGGCACGTATAAACAATATGTGTATGTGTATATCTATATATATATACATGTCATATAGAGACGTGTACGCGAATATCTATCCATCAATCTATCAATCCATCAATTTATATTATAAA